CAACCAGGGCAGCAAACACTCCCAGTGAGGGCTGCCCCATCAGGTGGTGGACTTCTCCCCACCACTGGCCATGCTAGCATGAGGGGTGCCATCTTTCATGTGGTAGATGAAGGAGCTACAGGCTGAATCCTGGCTCTGTGGAGTGTGGGCTGGAAAACCTTCTAGATGCATTGATCAGACATTGATGAGAACAGACACGCGTGAGACTTCTCCTTCTGGGTTGGAGAAGATTTGGGAGCTGGGTTCCTGGTGGGAGAAGAGCCAGTGTGGGCGGCCCTGTGGCCGCCCAAACAAGAGCCAGGAAGGAGGCATCTCAGTGCTGGCTCCTCTCCACCTTGCCTGCTCCATCATGGTCTCACGTGCTCCACAGCTGTGACTGCACAGCGTGTCCCCATCGTCCTGGCCAGCAGTTTTCTCCCAGGCACCTCAGGTGGATGACACACTGAATTCTGAGGACCCAGGAGGACTTTGAAACTCCCAGAGTGACATGGCAGGGACTCAAGTACAAAGCAAGATGGGAACAATGCCTTGGTTTTCTATTTGTAGGGGTGTCATGGTTCCCACCTGGCACGTCCCCCAAAGACCCACGTGTTGAAGGCTGGGTCCCCAGGGCAGCCTGGTTCAGAGGTGGAGCTTTGGAGAAGGCATTGGATCAAGAGGGCACTGACCTTACCTATGGATTGATCTATTAGGGATGCATTGGTGGTGGTGGCATTATTGAAGGTGGTAGAAACTGTAGGAGGTGGGACATGGAGACCGTGTGGGTCCTTGAGGGTGTGTCCTTGAGGACTATCTAGTCCCTGGCCCCTTCCTCTCCCTCTTCCTCTCGGCTGCTGTGTCCTGAGCAGCTTTCCTTCCCATGCCCTTCCGCCATGATGTTCTGCCCCACCTCAAGCCCAAGCAATGGACACGGCCACTACTGACTGAGACCTCCGAAACTATGCGCCAAACTAAGGCCTTCCTCCTTCAAGTTGTTTTTCTCAGGGATTTTGTCTCAACAAAAGCGGACTAATGCAACAGCTCCCAGGAGTCATCGAAACTTGGGAATGAAGACTAGCGAGGTAGTTATTTATGCTCATGCGCTGGAGGAGTCTGAAGACGTTTGGATTAGTTCTGGACAAGAAAACAAGGGTCAGGAAAAGTTAGTTTACGTCCCAGCATCAGAGACCTGCATGGAGGAGAGCCTAGGCTTAACCTTCCTCCCTTCCCCAGTTCAACAAGCTGGGTCAACTGGAGAAACCGTCCCCACATTAGGGGCAGTCTGTGGTTTTTGGAAACTGATTGAAGACAGGAGCTGGGACCTGCACTTCTGTTCTGCAGGGCCCATGGTCGAAGCTCATTCTGCATTTTAGGAGCCGTTTGATTCCTTGCGAGATGCAGCACCGCGCTATTCCCTCCAGGCAGAGCATGGCAGCATCGTGTTGGTACCTCTCACATGACTCCCTCCTTCAAAGTGGAGGTGTGGTGGTCTAATCAGAGCTAGAGGGACATGGAGGAGGAGGACATGAGTGCTGGACTGTAGCAGGATGGCTGGGCGCAGGGACTTGTGCCTCACAATGTGTCCAGCAATGTTCTGGGCTCAGCAGGGCAAAGAAACTGACCTCCAGAGACCCCGTTTTGAGAATCAAGCTACACGTTACGCACGTTACTCCTCAGTCCTGTACAGCTTGGTTTGCCCACAAGACTTGCAAAATGTGTATCCCCCCTGTCCTTTTCTGGGGAGTACTGGGGATTCAACTCAGGGGCTCGCCACCACTGAGCCACATCTCAGCCCTATTTTGTTTTTTTATTTAGAGACGGGGTCTCACTGAGTTGCTTAGCACCTCACAATCCTCCTGCCTCAGCCTTCCGAGCTGCTAGGGATTACAGGTGTGTACCACCGTGCCTGTCCCACCTTGCAATTTACAAAGATCATGTGATTAATAAAGAGATTATGAATTCGAAGTAGAAAAGACAGACGTTAAGTAAATACATGGCTCCAGAACTTAAACCTGAGCTAGGAATGCGTTGCTGATCCACAGATATTCCCTTGAAATCCTGAACACGGGGCTACAGATGCAGCTGTGGACTCCCAGAGACTACCTACAGCATTGGCTGTCCCACCCCGGGACAGACAGACAGCAGCAGCCACAGAAGCAGCTGTGGAAGTGGAGCAGTTACTTCTGGTACTCAGGCCGGAAGGAGACACCTCTGAGAATCCTTCAGAAGTAGGGTGCTAGGTGGGAATGGCTACAGGACTGTGTCAGGAACAAGATGCCCCGTGCGTGCTGTCACCTTGAGCTCAGGGGCGGACCTTGTGAGCTGATGGGGCATCTCCAGGTGAGGTCGCCTGCCGTGCAAGGTGGCAAGGACGTTCAGCCCAAGGGAAGGTGCATCTATTGATCCTGTGTGTGTCTCTAGAGATAAGGAGCTTCTGTGGGACTCACAGCTGGGCTGAGGCCAGGCAGCGGAGAGATGAGAAGCTCGGTGGCAGTGTACTGCAGAGAGTGGCACGTTGGCAAACTTGATCAGAGCATTCTCAGCCCGGCCGGCTGGTTCACCATGTTCCTCTGGTGGCCACAGGTGTGCTGTGGGGAAGGAAGAGGAACAGGATGCAGATTGTCCTGTCACAAGAAACACAGTATGTGCAGGAGGGAAGCCGCGAATGTGCAGTGCGTGAGTCCCGGGGGCGCTCCTCAGGCAGCTCAGCACATGTGGACAAGGTGCACACAACGTTGAGCTGTGTGCAAAGTGGCAATGTCTTTCTCTTTCTGACTTTAGAAAACAATGAAACGAGTTGGAGATTGTGAAGAACTCTACAGCAGGAAGTCCTCTAAGTTAGTACTAAGTAGAGTGGCCTTTAAACATCCCAGCCTCTGGGTGGTGTGGGGTACCTGCCAGTCCCACATTCTCCTCTCTGAGAACCAGGCTGTCCCCACTCTGCCTCTGCACCCGGGCCCTGCAGCCCTGCTCGTCCCCCTCACCTCAGGTGTGCAGAGCCAGGATGGCATGGGACCTTGGGGCCCTGGCCACAGCTGCTCTGGGGCTGGAATTGGGTGACAGAGTGAGGCATGGCAGGCGAGTCCAGGAGCAGACACAGGTCCCATGATGGAGGGGGAGCCCCAGGGCTTAGGAAAAGCAGAGGTGAGTGGGCAGAGAAGGGAAGAAGCCAGAAGCACAGGGAGAGTCGAGGCCAGAGTGTGCGGCTCAGACACACGCGGACATCAGGCGAGCGTGCGTACACATGCACAGACATGTACACACACACGTGTGCAGGCCCCACCTTGCCATGGGGGCAGGGAGGGAGAGGGAGCTGCTCCTACTGCCCACTCCTGCAGCCACCGTGCCTGGGAAGACACTCTCCACCCGCATCCCAGTGTTGTGGGGGACCCACACTTCTTCCTGCTCAACTCTGCCTCTCCCCCGGTTCTGACTTCAGGATGGTGTATGTGGGTTTGGGGTCTCACGTTTAATGTCCCCTGACCAGAACATGGAGTCAAACAGGAAGCCTTTCTTTTCTTTGAAGTAAAGGACAGAGGTAATCCCTGTGGCATGCATGCTGTGGTTTGTACACTTATATTCTTTGAGATAGAAATAACAGACTTGTTTTGGGAAGGGCAGCCTTGAAGTTTGTCAAATAGCAGACAAGGAAATCTGAAGGGCAGGATTCCTGTCTTAGTGTTAATACGTGTAATGAGATCCTACATCTCGTTGGCTCTAGTGGATGTGCTCCTTGCTCCCAGGTCCTCATTTCACTTCACCAGCACCCTGGAACGTCTGACTGGCTCAGGGACTACACATATGCTTTGGGGAGAAGGGGTTGATCCTTTTTATTGTTGTTGTGTATGTGTGGTGCTGAGGATTGAACCCAGGGCCTTGTGCATGCAAGGCAAGCACTCTACCCACTGAGCTACATCCCCAGCCCAGGAGTTGATTTTTGATGCAGAGAACAAAAGTGATTTTTAAGTTCAATAGCATATCAGGAGGCTTTTCATTACTGTAACAAAACACCTGAGGCAATATAAAGGAAAAACAGTTTATCTTGGCTTCTGATTCTGGAGGTGTCAATCCAAGATTAGGCAGCCTCATTGCTCTGGGCCTCTGTGAAAAGCAGCACATCACTGTGGGAACACAAGTGGAAAAAACCACTTCCATCATAGAACTAAGAAGCAGAAAAAGACTGAGAGATGGGACTTCTACAGTCACCACCCTGTAGATCAAGACTTTAACACATGGACTCTCAGGGGATGCTCATCCATGTCATACCCAGCTCAGGTGTAAATCATTCCTGCAGAATGAGCTTGTTTTTGTCCTCAGACTAGTAGAGAATTCCAAGAGCTGGAACAAGTAGGACAAATGTGTAAATCTAGACTCTGTTGGAGCCAGGACCTGAGTGGGCACCTCTTCTGCTACCAAGCCAACAGGGAGCCTGGCGACCGGCCACCACCCTGCAGGAAGGGCTCCTCTGGGCTCCAGGTGCACTCTGATCCAGAACTGTGGGCAGTCTCCATTTCAATGCTACCCCCCAGGGGGCTGGGAGCAGCCTGTCTCCCAGAAGGAGCCAAGTGGGGCCCCCAGGGCTACTGAGACGGAAGCCCCCCACTTCCCAGTTAGCTCTCTAGATATATTTTTTGAAACTCTCCTTCACATTACTGGATTAAGTAGCTTCTTAGAGAATTTGTGAAAATTGAAACTCTAGGATAATTGTTGATTTTTTGATATGACTTAAACTGTTCAGAAATTTCACCTGATTTTTTTTCCTGACAAATTTTCAAAACTCTTTCTTTAATAATAAATTAAAATTTAAAAAAAAAAATAAGGAGTCTTGAAGGATATTTTTCTCTGCAGTCAACTAAAGATCAAGAAGACTGTTTTTCTCCAGTTCTTCTATACTGGCTTCCCTCATCTTCAGGGCCTGGTACCGGGCACATCAGTAGCAGATGCAAGATAAAATCTTTTTGGAATAATGAGAGGAGACACATTAATCCACATTTGGAAAGAATCCTAAAGAGGCCAGCAGCATAAGCAAAAAAATATTTATTTACTCCTTAGATATTTTTGCAGAAAATCCATTCTTCGGGCTTCATCTCAGCAGGTGATGGCAGAGGCCAGAGGGCCACACAGCACCACGGAGGGATGGGGAGGCGGAGGATGCACCTGGCCTCAGGCTGTACCCAGAGCCCTGGAGAAGCCACTGGCTGGCGGGAATGGAGCCTTCCTGGAAAGCAGCGCCTTGCTGGCCGGGTCAGGACAGGCTGGGCCAGGGCAACAAGCAGCCATCAGAGCCCAGCGACTCTACAGGAAGCCATTTCTCGCCCTTGTCATCCCCCAGTGCCACCACCAGGCCAGCCCCTGGGAAGCCACCTCCCCTCTGCAGCCCACAGAGGACCTCTCAGCTGCCCAGGCTGCAGCACCAAAGACAGAGCAAGTGGTCCGTTGCATGGGACAGTTCTCAGGGCCATGCCTGAGAGTGGCCTCTCCAGCCTACACCCTGTGGGCACAGGCTCTCAGGAGGTCCACCTCCCTGGAGGCTGGGAGGGCAGCTGAGCTCATGCCCAGGAGGAAGTGTGGAGAACAGGTGGTACTGTGGCGTCTGGGGGGGAGAGGTGGCACAAGGGGCATGAGCACCAGCAAAGGCAAGTACACACCGGGTCCCCAGGGCCTGTGGCTGGGTGTGGACAGTCCTGCTGGCCATTGGTGGGCAAGTGGAAAGATGGTGGTAAGTCCAAAGCCGACCATGGAAGCACCAGCACATGTGCCCCCGAGTCAGCTGAGACACTCTTTTTGCATATGTCACATCCATGATAAATGTGCATCCGAGGGGTCTCCAGGACAGGGCCAGCAGTCCTGTGTGTGCTGAAGCTCATACCTCTGGAAGGGCACCAGCTTGAGCTCCTGCAGGGCACAGCCTCCTCCACAGCCCTCTCACCTACCAGACGGGGAAGGGAGGGACAAAGGCCCTGGCTTTCTCTGCACAGTGGGATCTGTGACCAGCTGTGGGGGCGGGGGGACGGTGCTTCCATCTCCTTCCCTCAAGGGAGAATCACCTATCCTTTTTTTTGAATTTTTTAATATTTATTTTTTAGTTTTCAATGGACACAACATCTTTAGGACCACCTATCTTGCAACCCACTGTCCGTCATCTTTGGAATGGGGCGGAAGCCCTTGGACCTAGCCCAGAAGCCCAGTCCCTGGGGACACTCTACTACTCATTGCCGGTGGCTGTCATAGCACCAGAACTACCCACTGCCCCCAGCCTCCAGCCTCCAGCCCCCAGCCCAGGGCCTGTGGCCACAACTGAACCTGCCATTAGCGCTGGCGGGGGACTGGCTGGTGCCTCTGTCGTGGGTCTTCAGACTTTCCAGATAACCAGCTCTGGGTGTGACCGCTACAGGTATGTCCAGCTGGGGGCAGGAGCAGCAAAGTCTGTAAATCAAAATATAACTCCGTTTGCTTCTGTGGCTCCAGGAGCTGGAGGGCTTCCCCTGAGGGGCCCCAGAAGCTTCTCCCTCCCTTTAGTTGCAAGAAGTGGGCCCCTTTTCTCTAAGATGACCAGCATGCTGGGTCCCTTGTCACTCAGAGGTGGCCCCTCAGCTCTGAGCCATGGCCAGCTGTCAGGTTCAAGAGGGTTGAGAAGGACATCAGCCAAACGCTGAGCACGGAGACAGTGCAGGAACGTCACCCTGTGTCCCTGCCTCTGAATTCCATCTGACACACTTTCTTTTTTTTTATAGAAAGGGGAGCAGGGGCAAAAGGCAGAAAATCAGGGCAGGTGGCTCCAGACGGGTCCCAAAACAGCCTTCTGCAATAGCCACTCTGCTATGAAGGACACCAGCTCCTAGAGGAGGTGTCCCTCTGCTATGTCCCCCAGATACTTGGTCAGCCTTCTGCAGATACACAGCTGGGTGAATACCCATCTAACGGCAGCCCATGCCCACCTTGGGGCTTGTGTGCTCTCCTGTCACCCGAGTTGGGAGGCCAGCCCCTTGTCCCATTCTCTCTCCCCCAGGTTGTCAGCCCGATGCCCTGGCTTGTGTAAATGTGTGAGCCACCGGCCAGTTAGACCTCCCTGAACACCTGTGAGTGAGGCAAGGCAGCTTCCTGGAGAGCAGGTGGGACCAGGAGCCCGAGGTCCAGGACGCACCACCTGTACCTGTGCCCACTGAGTTCTGGGCCCTCCCACCCCAGGCAGCAGCAGGGTCTACCTGGAAGGACTCGGGCTGGCTCTCATGGACTCCCCTGCCACTTCTTCCTGGCGACATCATAAGTGCTGGTGTTCAGGTGACTGGTGAGAGTGGAAGGCCAGCCAAAGCACCCTGCAGGCTGCCCCCGAGCCAGCAGGGGGCCCCACTTCCTTGTGAGAATGCTGGCTGCCACTTCAGGGGAAGAGGCGGTCACAGCAAAATGAATGTCAGTCCCTGGGCCTTTGGTCCCCAGTCCCTGCAGAGAGGGGCGGGTGAGGGCTGGCCAGAGCCACCTCCAAGGGTGACCGCAGGCAGGGCGGGAAGAGGGAGGTGTCGTGCACTGCTGCGAGTGACCAGGCGACTGGTTCAGTTTGCAGGGACGTTCGGGGACTGCGACAGCCCTGCCTCTGCTTCCTGCTGAGACACATTGCTGGTCTGTCTCTGAGGCCCTCATTAGATGCTGAGCGGCCACTCCAAAGTCTCTTTCTCTTTTTACAGAACAGAGAACAACTGGAGACTTGTTTTCTAAAGAAGAAAGCTTGGTGTTGGAGGATGTCTCAAGCCCCTGAGAGGAAAAAGAGGCCGTGCAGAGCCGGGCCTCAGGCACCCTTCTCGCCACCCCTGTGGCTAGAGTGTCACATTCACTTCAGCTGGACCTAGCAGGCCTGCGGGCCTTGCAGCTGAACTGACCCTGGGCTTCCAGGGAGACCTAGGAGGACTGAAGATCGCAGTTCTACTGGAGACTCAGGGAGCGCTGTCCACCTGTGAGTGGCAGATCACCCTGGAGTGGCTCTCAGGATCCCAGCAGGTGCTTCCTCCCTGTAAACTGTTCCAGGAGAAAGAAGACGAAATAACACACAGAATAACTTCCTGTGGGGCTTTTTGAGTACAGAGCACCTGTGGCCGGGGGCGGGGAG